CGTGAATAAGTTGTTGCACAATATCAAATCTAGAAGCAATAATAATTTCAGGAGTGTCTTGCCTCAATGTTATAGATACTTTCTAAATGCTTATTAGCCAATTTAATTAACACCAATACCTCTGAATCTCCCTCGATTTTGAAGAATATTGCCTACAAGCAACTACGTGCGCGGTGAAACTGAAGTTATATTACGAGAAGAAAGTGATGCTCCTCTGATTAGTGGTGATGGTATTCAAGCTTTTTTTATAACAAAAAAAGCGCAGATAAGTTGCATCTAGGAGACAAGGACATTGAATTTTCATTTTTTTCACAGATTCAACTGATACGAAGTTTTGACTTCTTTTTCTTTCCACTCTGTAAACTGTGTACAATAGAATGTACAGTTAGATTAGCCATTTTCTTTTTGTACTTCGGGGCCAAAAATGATGTCGCTCGACCATCACAATCGCGTTTCTAGTTGTTCTTTTCATATTTTACTATTTTATAGTCGTATTACACAATCTCTATTCATTTTCAATTTATATATCAGATTCAAATAATAGAGTAACGGCTGAGATGGGAAAATCATTTAGATAGTCTACTACTGCGTCGAGCCACCGTCGATAAAATCCTGAAAAATCAGACCGCCGCCGAAGAAGTCGGCGAAAAATTTTGTGACTTATTGCTACCGCCGCCGATCAGATCAAATTTTAGGTGAAAAACTCTCTTTTTCGAAACGAACTGTGTTCAATTTCAGACTGCAGACGCCGACAGCTTCATCGGCTAACACCACTATTCATAACTGATTTTTAATTTAATTTTTTGTTTGATTTTTCGAATGAATTAATCAACCAAAAATGTAAACTTACGTCTAGCTAGACAACAGCTGCTCTCTTTTTTCGGAGAAGAAGATCACAAAAACTTCCGAGTAGTCTGCTACAAGGTAATTTTTAAAAAGATTTTGCTCGAGACTGATGTTCTGTTTCGAAGAGGAGGAGGGTTAACCGATATATCGTTTTTTTTAAATTTAATATCGTATTTCGTCACAACTACCATCAGATAAAATGAAATCTAATACAAATCCTTTGAAAATTATATTACCTAACACTAAATTGTATCTTGAAACCGGACAATATCTTGGTATTAATTTTGATTCTAGCACTGGTCTCCATTATATGTAAAGAACCGTCATTTACATCAGCGTAACATCAATGATCTCAAGAAAAATAGGAAAGAGAAAAAATCTACATTTTTTATCCTGGATAAAACTAAAGGTGTTGCATTCACTTTCAATGTTACGATTAATATAATACCGAGCTCAGGTAATAAAACGAAAGATGATAAAGCCTTTTGTTACCAAAATGTTTTTAGGAAAAAGATTGAGATTTAGTGAGTTGAGAATAATCAAGAGTGTGTTTTGCGGCGAACAACAATACTTGAAATAGCCTTTTCTAAACTGATAGGTTGACTACATTAGTAATTATTTCAGAGATAAATGTTCTATAGAAATGTTCACTGACTAGAAAATGATCCTCATCCGATATCTAATAATAACCTATCTATGCACTCTAATTTTTCATGTTTAGAATACATTCGAAATCTATATTTGTGCTCTATCTTAATAAGTCCATACAACTTGGCCACATAAGTTACTTATGTTTTTGAACACCGGCAAAATAATTTTTAATAGTATATATCCCTGATATTCATTAAACAATTATAAAAAACAGGTGTCTTCACAATTAAATAAGTGGTTCGAAAAACACTCATCAGTCGAATGTTTTTTTTGCCAAAGAAAAGCTTCAGGTAACGGTTTTTTCTGCTTTTGGTTTAAATTAAAAAATAAAATACTTAGCGGAATGAGTGTAGTGTAAAGTTTGTTTGAATGAGAAAGTGAATAGAAGTTCTTGATATAAGAGAGAGAAGAAGAAAATTTGTCGAAAGTTATCTTTCTGAAGTGTAACCGACGTTGTAGTTAGTCATAGGAATGATGAGGGCGGTCAAAACTTTGTTGTCAAATGTCAAGTTATGAATACCCTAGCCGAGACTCTCGGCAAAACTCCAACGGGAGTCCCTAGTTTATGAAAAACTCCAGCAGAAACCGTAAGGAGTCCTGATGACTCCCGCAGGAACTTTCTAACGTGAAAAGTCTAACATGAGTCATGAGGAGTCCTAAAAAAATTCTTGCAGGAGTCCTGTCGAGAGTCCTGTTGGAGAAAGTCATGCATGGAATCCTGCAGAGCTGCTCAGGGAGGAGAACTTTTTTTCTCGTGACTCCCATGAGAGAAAGTTTGTCAAGAGTCCCATGTATCCCTGCCAAAGTCCAGCAGGAGTCCAAACGATCAAAAACACTCATATTTCATAAGGAGGCCAATCAATGAAACTGATCCATTATATATGGTATAAATACAAAGTGAAATCCGTAAAGGACAAAAGAAAGTATATTGTGTCATCATGACGAATTCTAGAAATCTTTTAGGCTATAAGACACTAAATCCATAATCGTGAATGGCAAAGTGGATTTAACGTTCCTCACTTTGACAGTCGCGATCATAGATGAAAAGCTATGAATCAAATGCGTAATAATATTGAAAAAAAAAATAACCCATCGATGAACACGTCTCATTATGAACAATGATTCCTAATCAGTGCATTCCTAATCATAGTAATATATATTCATCACTGACTCTGCCCCCAGACCCAACTTCAAAAGACAGATCAGTCAGTAGTCGAATAGAAACGTACGCAAACATTTCGAATTTTCCTTTAAATTTTTAACAGCCGTTTGGCAAGTACTAATCCTTAGCGTTATTTGAAAACTTTGATGGTGTAAGTTATATAATTTTCAGTTTCCTGTTTGCCATTGTTCAGAAGGCGTAGTTCAGACCAAAATAGACAATCCTACAGAGTTTATCTATCGGAATTAAAACTTGGCCTTAAGGTTCAGCTATGAGCATAACAAGTTTGTAGCAATATCCTAATCGCTGATTATAAGTGATCCTTCCTTTGTAATTATGCCTGTGAGTTTATTCCGATAAGGTTACGTCTCGCGTATACAATGATAACATTGTGCCAGGAATATGCGAGAGTCCATCCGTGGATGTCGCGTTAGTAATGAGCCACCATACTCAAGGTGAGTATTTTCTGTGAAATGAGGGCGTATTGTCGTCATAGACGGCTCTCAAGGTGCGCCTCACAGAAAAAGACGAACTGACTAATAACTGAGTCTCGCATAACACAGGCGCTCGGCGATCTTAATAACATTGATTTATTGACATTCAAACATGAATTAACAACATTATCTTCATTTACAAGAAAATGTTGTGTGTTTATATATAATCGAAATGAAACAAGGAATTCATTTAATCAGTAGTGAGCGTTCACGCATAATAATAAGTAAGTTTGCAGTTTCGAGAATAACCACTTTTTTTCATAAAAGAAAATCCTATTCTTATTTAAAATAATTTGTATTTTAAATATGCCTGTCTTATACTGAACATTAGATTTATTATTGAGTACACCTTTTTATGATTTATAGATGCTACCAAAGCTGCTTATCATTTGAACGATTATTCAGTTTTACCATATATATCCCGTATTAATGAAGCAAAAAGACAATTAAGAGTAGATGTTCATTCTGGAAAAGTTATGAAACAACGACACGATGATGATGATGTTAATGACGATGAAAAAGAAGTTTTATCAAATAACGACGACGGTCGTGTTTTTGATGCATCATCCTTTGTTAACAATACAACATTCGATAATGAAGATGATACAGTATTTATTCATGGAGACAACAGCTACAACAGTAATGAAAAAAACGATGAAACCGATGTTGATGATTAAAATAATAATAACAAATAAATTGCTTAATGAGAGGATTTCCAACATCGAAGTCTCAGCTGTTCTCTGAGATACGATCCCAAGTCTCAGTACCTAGAGGTTTTCTGGTATGCTAAGTTCAATGGTTATTTCAGTTTTACTTACTTTTGACTTTCCTAATGGAGTTCTGGAAAACCATATTTTGGGCATTAAAACTTCACAAAGTACTTTCATCAAGAAATTTGTATTGATTGAAACTTTGAATAACTAAGTGTACAGGATAAAGTGCATGTTTCTCTATTAGGAATAATATTTTTTAAGAAAAAGTCTTAATTTTTAATGGATTTTCAAAGAGTTTTTCCTGAAAATCTTGGATCGCTTAAAGAGATGACAGTTGCGGATGAACACTGCAACACAGTAGTTCTTTGATTTTTGTATCTAACTTGGCTAACTATGAGTTCAAAGTGTGAAAGATTATAGCTTCCAGAGCCTTTACTTTATGGAGTTTTTCAGGGGTAATGTAGAAAACATCAGAGATTAGCCATGAAGTTTCTTAAAAGATAAGGGTTTAGCATGTGCATTACATAGTTTAATCATTATTCTACAAATTGGTGCAAATCTGAAATTTTTATCAGTCAGAATGCCCCGTTTGGAGCGATTACCCGAAGCCATCCGTAGATTTCTTTCTTTTCATCTAGTAGATCAAAGCCACTTGGGCACATAGCTTATCAACCGTTTCCAATCTACTCATGACATTTGTTTTGACTCTAGGCAAGTTAGATACAAAAATCAAAGAACTACTGCGTTGCAGTGTTCATCCGCAACTGTCATCTCTTTAAGCGATCCAAGATTTTCAGGAAAAACTCTTTGAAAATCCATTAAAAATTAAGACTTTTTCTTAAAAAATATTATTCCTAATAGAGAAACATGCACTTTATCCTGTACACTTAGTTATTCAAAGTTTCAATCAATACAAATTTCTTGATGAAAGTACTTTGTGAAGTTTTAATGCCCAAAATATGGTTTTCCAGAACTCCATTAGGAAAGTCAAAAGTAAGTAAAACTGAAATAACCATTGAACTTAGCATACCAGAAAACCTCTAGGTACTGAGACTTGGGATCGTATCTCAGAGAACAGCTGAGACTTCGATGTTGGAAATCCTCTCATTAAGCAATTTATTTGTTATTATTATTTTAATCATCAACATCGGTTTCATCGTTTTTTTCATTACTGTTGTAGCTGTTGTCTCCATGAATAAATACTGTATCATCTTCATTATCGAATGTTGTATTGTTAACAAAGGATGATGCATCAAAAACACGACCGTCGTCGTTATTTGATAAAACTTCTTTTTCATCGTCATTAACATCATCATCATCGTGTCGTTGTTTCATAACTTTTCCAGAATGAACATCTACTCTTAATTGTCTTTTTGCTTCATTAATACGGGATATATATGGTAAAACTGAATAATCGTTCAAATGATAAGCAGCTTTGGTAGCATCTATAAATCATAAAAAGGTGTACTCAATAATAAATCTAATGTTCAGTATAAGACAGGCATATTTAAAATACAAATTATTTTAAATAAGAATAGGATTTTCTTTTATGAAAAAAAGTGGTTATTCTCGAAACTGCAAACTTACTTATTATTATGCGTGAACGCTCACTACTGATTAAATGAATTCCTTGTTTCATTTCGATTATATATAAACACACAACATTTTCTTGTAAATGAAGATAATGTTGTTAATTCATGTTTGAATGTCAATAAATCAATGTTATTAAGATCGCCGAGCGCCTGTGTTATGCGAGACTCAGTTATTAGTCAGTTCGTCTTTTTCTGTGAGGCGCACCTTGAGAGCCGTCTATGACGACAATACGCCCTCATTTCACAGAAAATACTCACCTTGAGTATGGTGGCTCATTACTAACGCGACATCCACGGATGGACTCTCGCATATTCCTGGCACAATGTTATCATTGTATACGCGAGACGTAACCTTATCGGAATAAACTCACAGGCATAATTACAAAGGAAGGATCACTTATAATCAGCGATTAGGATATTGCTACAAACTTGTTATGCTCATAGCTGAACCTTAAGGCCAAGTTTTAATTCCGATAGATAAACTCTGTAGGATTGTCTATTTTGGTCTGAACTACGCCTTCTGAACAATGGCAAACAGGAAACTGAAAATTATATAACTTACACCATCAAAGTTTTCAAATAACGCTAAGGATTAGTACTTGCCAAACGGCTGTTAAAAATTTAAAGGAAAATTCGAAATGTTTGCGTACGTTTCTATTCGACTACTGACTGATCTGTCTTTTGAAGTTGGGTCTGGGGGCAGAGTCAGTGATGAATATATATTACTATGATTAGGAATGCACTGATTAGGAATCATTGTTCATAATGAGACGTGTTCATCGATGGGTTATTTTTTTTTTCAATATTATTACGCATTTGATTCATAGCTTTTCATCTATGATCGCGACTGTCAAAGTGAGGAACGTTAAATCCACTTTGCCATTCACGATTATGGATTTAGTGTCTTATAGCCTAAAAGATTTCTAGAATTCGTCATGATGACACAATATACTTTCTTTTGTCCTTTACGGATTTCACTTTGTATTTATACCATATATAATGGATCAGTTTCATTGATTGGCCTCCTTATGAAATATGAGTGTTTTTGATCGTTTGGACTCCTGCTGGACTTTGGCAGGGATACATGGGACTCTTGACAAACTTTCTCTCATGGGAGTCACGAGAAAAAAAGTTCTCCTCCCTGAGCAGCTCTGCAGGATTCCATGCATGACTTTCTCCAACAGGACTCTCGACAGGACTCCTGCAAGAATTTTTTTAGGACTCCTCATGACTCATGTTAGACTTTTCACGTTAGAAAGTTCCTGCGGGAGTCATCAGGACTCCTTACGGTTTCTGCTGGAGTTTTTCATAAACTAGGGACTCCCGTTGGAGTTTTGCCGAGAGTCTCGGCTAGGGTATTCATAACTTGACATTTGACAACAAAGTTTTGACCGCCCTCATCATTCCTATGACTAACTACAACGTCGGTTACACTTCAGAAAGATAACTTTCGACAAATTTTCTTCTTCTCTCTCTTATATCAAGAACTTCTATTCACTTTCTCATTCAAACAAACTTTACACTACACTCATTCCGCTAAGTATTTTATTTTTTAATTTAAACCAAAAGCAGAAAAAACCGTTACCTGAAGCTTTTCTTTGGCAAAAAAAACATTCGACTGATGAGTGTTTTTCGAACCACTTATTTAATTGTGAAGACACCTGTTTTTTATAATTGTTTAATGAATATCAGGGATATATACTATTAAAAATTATTTTGCCGGTGTTCAAAAACATAAGTAACTTATGTGGCCAAGTTGTATGGACTTATTAAGATAGAGCACAAATATAGATTTCGAATGTATTCTAAACATGAAAAATTAGAGTGCATAGATAGGTTATTATTAGATATCGGATGAGGATCATTTTCTAGTCAGTGAACATTTCTATAGAACATTTATCTCTGAAATAATTACTAATGTAGTCAACCTATCAGTTTAGAAAAGGCTATTTCAAGTATTGTTGTTCGCCGCAAAACACACTCTTGATTATTCTCAACTCACTAAATCTCAATCTTTTTCCTAAAAACATTTTGGTAACAAAAGGCTTTATCATCTTTCGTTTTATTACCTGAGCTCGGTATTATATTAATCGTAACATTGAAAGTGAATGCAACACCTTTAGTTTTATCCAGGATAAAAAATGTAGATTTTTTCTCTTTCCTATTTTTCTTGAGATCATTGATGTTACGCTGATGTAAATGACGGTTCTTTACATATAATGGAGACCAGTGCTAGAATCAAAATTAATACCAAGATATTGTCCGGTTTCAAGATACAATTTAGTGTTAGGTAATATAATTTTCAAAGGATTTGTATTAGATTTCATTTTATCTGATGGTAGTTGTGACGAAATACGATATTAAATTTAAAAAAAACGATATATCGGTTAACCCTCCTCCTCTTCGAAACAGAACATCAGTCTCGAGCAAAATCTTTTTAAAAATTACCTTGTAGCAGACTACTCGGAAGTTTTTGTGATCTTCTTCTCCGAAAAAAGAGAGCAGCTGTTGTCTAGCTAGACGTAAGTTTACATTTTTGGTTGATTAATTCATTCGAAAAATCAAACAAAAAATTAAATTAAAAATCAGTTATGAATAGTGGTGTTAGCCGATGAAGCTGTCGGCGTCTGCAGTCTGAAATTGAACACAGTTCGTTTCGAAAAAGAGAGTTTTTCACCTAAAATTTGATCTGATCGGCGGCGGTAGCAATAAGTCACAAAATTTTTCGCCGACTTCTTCGGCGGCGGTCTGATTTTTCAGGATTTTATCGACGGTGGCTCGACGCAGTAGTAGACTATCTAAATGATTTTCCCATCTCAGCCGTTACTCTATTATTTGAATCTGATATATAAATTGAAAATGAATAGAGATTGTGTAATACGACTATAAAATAGTAAAATATGAAAAGAACAACTAGAAACGCGATTGTGATGGTCGAGCGACATCATTTTTGGCCCCGAAGTACAAAAAGAAAATGGCTAATCTAACTGTACATTCTATTGTACACAGTTTACAGAGTGGAAAGAAAAAGAAGTCAAAACTTCGTATCAGTTGAATCTGTGAAAAAAATGAAAATTCAATGTCCTTGTCTCCTAGATGCAACTTATCTGCGCTTTTTTTGTTATAAAAAAAGCTTGAATACCATCACCACTAATCAGAGGAGCATCACTTTCTTCTCGTAATATAACTTCAGTTTCACCGCGCACGTAGTTGCTTGTAGGCAATATTCTTCAAAATCGAGGGAGATTCAGAGGTATTGGTGTTAATTAAATTGGCTAATAAGCATTTAGAAAGTATCTATAACATTGAGGCAAGACACTCCTGAAATTATTATTGCTTCTAGATTTGATATTGTGCAACAACTTATTCACGGAGAATCAGCGCTTCAGAGCAACTGAGATGCTGAACGTCAGTGCACTTTGGATTAATCAAGACAGAAAAAAAAAATTTTTTTTGACTTATAATGTGTATGGAAATAAAGGTGACACAGAGTGAGAGATAGAAAAGCCCAAAAGAATAAAGGGTAGTGATTAATAGAGAATAAAAATAATGGAACAGATTGTAATAATAGACAAAAATCAAGAGTAAAAGTTGCAAGATATTAAAAATCGCTTGTTTAAAATAATAAGAAATGAGAGAGAAAAGATAATAAACGAAAAAGTATCGTTCACTGTTCAGGGATATAATGTTACATTACCAATAGCTTCCGAATCACTTCCTCCCCATTTAATATAGAAACTGATGTAAAGCAACGATCTTGCTGTTGTTTGAAATGTTTGACTAACATAGTCTAAACTACCGACTATTCCATCTACATAACCACATGAGTAACAAACCCCAGAGCCGCTAACTGTTATCCATTTCGAAAAAGAAAAAGGATGGCCATTTCTTGAATAACTTTTGATTGGTATGCGATGAACACAAACGGTTGGTACCATTAGAAAGCTCAGAGCTTTTACTATTCAGCCGTACATGGTTGAACAGAGACCGTAAAGGTGAGTGAGAAAAAAGTGGTTTTAACTTTTTAAAAAATTCTTTTAAGGAAAAAAAGTTTTCAGAATATACATCCTTCTGAGAGTTGCACAACTTGTGTCAAATCAGCCAGTTCTAAGATAATTCACTC